ATTCTGTTTCATTTGTATTATTAATTCCTCAAATTTTGTTAATTGTCTGCATTTCCCATATAGTTTTACCCAATTAGTCCATGCCTCCAACTGCAATACGTTATGCAAAGATATTTTACTTTGTTCAAATATTTCCTTTATATCATCTCTACAAGAAATTTTACTTAACCAATCTTTCAGCCTTGATGCTCCTGCTTGCTCCATATCTTTTATTAATCCTGCCTTAAGATTCTCTGGAAATTTTTCTAAATCTACAATTCAGCCACAATCAGTTTTTAAGCTGACCTTTCTGTACTGTCTTTAGACTAGCGATGGAAGAGAATAAATAGTCTTAATTTTTATATGCATGTAGTTCCTGAACCTAGTATGAATGTGCATCTGCATGTCCAAATTTGAACATCTGGAATTTTCTGATGTTCTTTGCAATTTAAGAAATTTGGGAAATTTGAGTAAGTGAAGAAAACATGCACAAACTTATATTACAAAAAATTGCTGACAAAAAGGGTACCCATTAGAAAAAGAACATACCGAAATGCAATATGTTAGAAAAAAACACACATGCATTTTTGTACAAACTTTTTATTTGTCTGCCAAAGTCAGAAACTAATGAGAAAACAAAAATTTATGACAGGGAAAATGAAAAATCAGATGAAGTCACAAGGGGCAAATTTCCCCAACTGTATTCTTGTATACTGAGGTCATGCTTCTGGAGATAGAATAGTTTTTTTTAAAAAAGCCTTTACCTGCTAAATATCAGGTTTTATTAAAGGACTGGAACCAGTAAAATCTTGCCTAAAAGAAAAGTGTTGCACCATACTTTAAAGGTTAACAAATCCTCAACTAAAAACCGCTTTAAAAATGCTAATTTGTCATCATAAAAGACAGTGCTTTTTGCCATCAGTTCCACAGAGATAAGTGCTCTGTTCCCCTAGTAAGAGCATTCCAATTGATCTTATAATTCCTTTTAAGTTGCCTAATGAGAGAGGTAAGTTCAGGTAACCACACAATGCCTTATAAATTAAACCTGTCCCCTTACATAGCACTTAGAGACAAAGAATAATATAACAGGATAGCAGTACAGATCACTGGATGCAGATACACATTAAAAGTACAAAGAACTTGTTCAGGTGTTGCTCAGCACCTTATAATTCTTCTGTTTGCAAGCATATTTCATTCTAGGACTCTAAGTATATTTAGATTTCCTTCTATCCTAAGAATATATATTTTTTTGAAATATTGATGGGATTTTTCTACAGGAAGCTAGCTTAGATAATCAAAAGAATGTTCATGTCACATCAAGTAGAGTTGAGCATAGCTCGGACAATAGAGTTTGAGGCATGACAAAAAACATTACATGCCATATCTTGGGGGAACAGAAACTTTGCTTGCAAAACTAAACCTACTGACATGGGGTGATCAACCATACCGTGTGGCACATCTTGCTGCTGCCAACAGTTGGCATGGCCTTCCCATCCAATCTTTAACGAAACAAAGGACTTTATTGGTAGCTGAAGCATATTTTATTTATTTATTTATTTATATGTCACATTTATATAGCCACCCATCTCACACAAAATGACTCTGGGCAGCGTATAACATAT